CCACCGTGCCTGCTGGGACAGGAAGAGCAGCAGAGTGACCGGCTTCCTCAGCTCTCGGTGTGCCCCGCCACCCGCACAGAGTTCCCACATCCTGGCAAGGCTGCGATGTTAGCAACATTAGTCATAATAGCCCCTTAATGAAAACAACCCACATATGCTTCCATCAACATTTAGATGAGTGGATAAAAAAAAAATGTTGTTGATCCACCCAATGGAATATTGTTGAGTCATAAAAAGAAATCCAGCACTGACGTGGGTACAACACAAATGACCCTTACCTAAGGGAAAGAAGCCAGACACAAAAGGTCACCCCTTGTATGATTCCATGTACATGAAATGTCCAGAACAGGGAAATCGGCGGACCCAGGAAGTAGATCGGTAGTCGCCAGGGCCGGGGAAGAGGCTGGCGTGCGGACCAAATGCGAACGGGTGAGAGAGTTCTCTCGGGGCGATGGAAGGGTTATGGGGTTATAGGTAGCAGTGATGGTCGCACGGTTTGTAAATCCTCTAGGACTGACTGGATTGTACACGTTCAAAGGGTGAGTTTTGTGGTGCGTGAATTTTATCTGATTTTTTTAAAAGAGGGAACGAGGACCCAGTGTCTTGGAGCAAGCAGGGCACGCGGGGCGCCGCGTGGGCTCTGTATCCGTGAAGGAAGAGACAGAGCTGCTGACCGAGTCAGATGCCAGCTCCCCTCCAAAGAGCGTTCGGGCTGTTGTCAGGTGACATAAGATTTAACTCAGCCACCTGTAGATTTAGAAGGAAGCACAAGCCCATCTGCTCACTTCCGCCCTACCCAGCCACCCCTCACGGCCGACCCTCTGGAACGTTACCCCTTCAACTTCCACATGTAGGAGGTGTGGGAATAAGACAGCCAACGCATAGCTCCTATTATTATTACATTGCAAAATAATGCAAGTTGATACTCCCTTCATGTAAAGAGTAATACTTAGGCCCTGCATTTTTTTAGTGACTGCACATTCTAACTAATGCTGTTATGTTTGTCTAACACTTTCTTTGAATTGCGAGAATATGTCCTATTTGTCATTACCCGGGTTTTCTGTATGTTTCAATCATAACTATATTAGTTTCTCTCTCTCCCTTTTTTTTTTTGTTGTTGTTGTAAGAAATTGCTAAAAGCTGTTGCATCAGGAATTTTGGACCTTGTTCAGACGAGATAATCAGGGAGGATTGAAGACTCGTTGACAGAAAGCAGGCAACCCTAGTAATTTCAGCGGATCAGTCACGTATTTTATTTCTGTCAGTTACCCCATACAAGATACAGGTAGTAACATGCCCGGCCAGTGACATCCTATCCCAGGCCCTGGGCTGCACTTCAGAAGAGGCCATTCCTCTGTGAAGGGCTGGGACGCCTCCACAGTGCTCTGCAGAGGGCGGGGGGCGGCGGGGGCTGAGCCCTTCCTGGAGGAGAGGTGTTTTGTACCATCTTCCCTCACTCAGTTTTATCTTACCAGGAGCGCAGCCCTCGATAAGACAAATTTCCCAATGGCATGTGTATAACTTTTCTACGTCTCAGGCAACCTAAATGAGAGCTAATAGAGTGTACTTTTTAATGATCTGGAGGGATCTTGTGCTGTACAAATTAGAAAATAAGTTTGGAAGTAACACTTACTCAAACCAGCGAAGTTGTGTGAATATTTGAAGTTACTCAGTAAGGGTCAAGAGGTAAAACCAGTGAAATCAAGATGTTATTGTGCAGACACGAGATTTCACAAAGAATATGACTACTAGAGTCATGCATTCTTCAGTATTACCAATGTACCTTGGCCTAATTCAATGAGAAGTTAATAAAAGTAATAATTTTATCTTAATTTTGTTGTGTCACTTCAGAAATTCAGGTGTACGTGTATAGTCAGTAAGTTAATCAGTTATTTTTTTAACCTGCATGTTGACATCTACAATTTTAGTGGTTATTGAGACTAGTTGAGTATAGGAAGAAAATTTGATGTCAATGCGTCTAAATTATAGTAACTAAATTATAGTATAGATTCCAGTTTTTCTATCCTTTTTGTCATCTTTCTATGACTATTTATTGAGCACACTATTTCAGGCACAAGGTATAAAGAGCTGTGTGCTCTGTCCCCTGCTTTGGTGAGGCGGGGGTCCGCCCTCCCTCCTGTGCGTGGGGGCTGGCCGGGCTTCCTAGCATGCTTCGCTTCAGGACCACTCTTTCCCCACTGAGTGTTCTCGGCTACTCTCTCATGAATTCTTTGACCTTGTAAATGTGGGTTTATTTCTGGGCCCTCTGTCCTGTTCCCGACATCTCTGGTCAGCATAGAAGGGAAGCTGCCAAGGTGCCTGTATCCCTTATTTTTGGGAAATCACATCTGCACGTCACACTGAAGGGGGAGCGAGACCTTCCGTCCGCCTGGCCAGTGCTACTTGGGGAGAAGAGCTTCACTTTCAAAGAGGGGATCCTAATTCCAGGGCTTAATGTGAAACTTGGTCTAATTTTTTTCTTGATGAACGAGAGAAATGGCAACAAGCACTTAATATTTAGGTTGCATTAGCAGGAATTTAGCCATTTGTGATCAAACAGCAGTGAAATGGCAGGTCGTAGCCTGTCGTAAACTTAAAAGCCGCTGAGGAAAGGTGTCAGGTAGGTACGATTTATTTAGCATGTCTTGAGGTATGGAAAGGGTGTAGTACAGAACCCAAACCTGTAATTAAAGAACAAGACAGCACGGCGGGCGTGCGGCCGGAGTCCCCGCGTCCAGGCCTGGGTGCTGGTGCAGGGCGGACGCTGTGGCCGTTCGGGAAATTGCGCGTGTCACAAATTCTGCCGTCTCTTTCTCCGCTTCCGCAAGGTCTGACTCTCATCACTCTGTTTATGTGGGAGCTCAGTTACGAGTTGGTGAAACTGAGGGACTTAGAAATTTCTTAGCTCAAATCAAATGCCTGCTTTCAAGACAAAACAAAACGGTATTCAGCTCGAATCTAAACAAAATTAAACTCCGCTCACGACAGCCAAGGCCGCCAGACTTGTTCTGGCAGATGGCCAAGAAGGAAAAGTTCCAAAGGCAGAACCCCTCCACTGTGGCTCCAGCCCTGGGACTTTCACCCCGAGAGACTGACGTCATCGACAGCAGGAGACGCAGCGTCGGCCTGTGTCCCGTGCACGCAGCCACCCGTGCCGCATTGCGCGGAGGATGCGGCTGCTCCCCGGTGGCAAATCACCAGCGGCCCACTAAGATCCCAGCGTCACACAAAAGCTGGCACAGGCCCCTTTTTATAATAAGACAGAGTATCCAGAACTGGGTGTAGGTTGTAAGCGAAGAACCTGCGCTACAAGCAGGGTGTAGAACCTGCACCTACCTCCCCATGCCTCCACAGCCCCCTTGAGGGCACCTGCTGGCAGGAGAGTGGGGCCACTGCTGAGCCTGAAGGGCTTCAGTGCAAGAGGCTGAGGAGGAGGGGTCCTGCCAAGTGAGCGCACTCCACCCCCACACCCCTACCCACTGCGCCACCTCGGCTGCAGGGAGTCAGCGAGCACAGTCCTGCCTGCAGCTCCCCTCTCCCTGGGCCGTGACCTGCACAGGTGCGGGATGGGGAGGAAGGGGCGCATCTCTTCCCTTCAAGGACACAGCTTACAAGGTGCCCGCCTCACTTCCAGTCACATCCTAGTTGGGAAGGGGCGGAGGGAATGGGGATCGTTTTCACCCTGCCCCGATACCCGCCCCGTGCACGCCCTGGGTCTGCACACCCCAGCGCGGCTCCCTGGAGAGCAGCCCCTGCCCCAGCAGCATGGGGCCCCTTGCAGAAGGGCCAGCGCTGCGCCTCCTCGTCAGCCTCCTTGCAGGCCGGGGGAAGAACTCCAAGCGTGCCCTAAAGTCAGCCGCAACCTCAAAAGCATCTCTGTTTTGTTAATATTTATTCCTTAATATGTTAGGTACTGTTTGCTTGTCCAGTTTATAGATTGGTGGTGAGCATCATACTTCATACTGTGTTTTCTAGAGAGTTAAAAGATCGACGAAGTAATGATTATCTTAGTTGAAAACTTGGCTTCAATTTATTTTTCACAAAGTTTGCGTGTCAGATAAAGCATACATTGGAAAACAGTAGGTTATTGCATATCAGGTGTTTTGCTTCTGAAAAGTAAAAATTTTAAAGCCAGAAATGTCATCTAAGAGTCGTTTTCGGATCCCTAGCTCTTGCTGTAGCAACTGTCACCACGAACACGCATGCTCTGATAAGCTGATGCATTTGCCCTTGCATAGCCCTCCTCCTGCTCACCAGTCAGAATGTAGAGTAGATATTTTCAGCTTTCAGGAACAAGAGAGAAGAGTATCCATAGGAAAGAATTTTCCAGCAAAGAGTATTCCCGCCTGAACTCTCGGGCGGCCTTCCTAACTGCCTCCTTGTCCCCGGGGAGAGTGCATGGACTCGGTGCCAGCCCCGCGGTGCCCCCTGCTGCCGAGGGCCCAGCGTCCCCAGCAGCCCGCGCCAGGTGAGGGCGCAGCCCTGCTCTGCGGCCACCCTGCTGCCTTGTGGCTGGGCCGTGCTCTCTGCACTTGTGCCGCAGAGATGAACCCCAGCAGTGACAAACATGGCAGCGCCACTCGGTTTCGGGTTTCGTTCCCAGAGGCCTCCACCCTCCGCCCTGCTGTGTCCTCCTTTGGCCTTTGCTCTGGTGCCCTCTCCTGATTTCTCGCCCTCCGACCCCAGCCCTGTGTCCACCCTAAGTTCCATTTTCACGGAGTCACCGTTCTAAAGGCCCTTCTCCAAGCACACTTGCATCATGAGGTGCCTGGGTTAGGGCTTCTGCATGAGAATGTGGAGGGGACCCAGTGCAGCCCCCAACAGTGTATAAAACATGGGGGAAATATTAATATCACGAGTGATGTGGACCCCCAGGGTGAGAAGTAAATGAAAACATTCGCAGATTGCAGATTCCTGGTGTGCTTTCTTGGCGTTCTCATCCACAACATCTGAAACACAGAGACTGACTTGTTTCCCGTGCTGTGTTGCTGTTTGCTCAGGCCTGGCAGCTGCGGTTCAGCCACCTCGTGGGCTACGGTGCCAAGTACTACTCTTACCTGATGTCCAGGGCTGTGGCTTCCATGGTGTGGAAGGAGTGTTTCCTCCAGGATCCTTTCGACAGGTACTAAAGGGGGCAGGGCAGGAGACGTTCCCCTCAGCCCTGTCACCCCCTCCGCTAATGTCAGGCTCTGGGAGCTCCGCGGGCCTCCCCGGCCCAGGGCCCAGACTGCCCATCCCTTCCCTCCAGCCCAAGCCCCTCCTGCTTCCAGAGCCTTCTGCCCTACTGCGCAGCCCTGAGCGGCGGCCACCGGCGGGGGGGGTGGGGGGGGGGGGCCTGGCACTCTGTCCCCGCACACACAGGGACCCACTGTGTGAGCGCTGGGAGCTCCTGCCCCAGGGGCCTGCCTTCCTGCGGGTTTGCTCGGTTCTCCAGACGGTCCTGCTCTCCGTGTCTGTTGCCGTAGCCAGGCCTGTCATTGGGACAGGGAGCCTCGTCTCCACACAAGCATCCACAGTGTCCCATCTTCTTTGCTGCCTGATGGAGGACGTAGCATTTTCTCCAGCTGGGAGCAGCAGTGCTGGAACCTGGGACAATGGACCTTAGGGTCCAGTTTGTTCCAGAAAGCTCGCCGGCTACCCGGCTCTGGAGCACTTTTCCGTACCCTTGAAAGACAGCGGCATCCAAAAACGAGACTGCTTCACCTGCCACCACTCACGAGGGCCTCTGCCCAGCATGGCTTCCCGCCGCCCTGTCTCATAGGCACCCTCACAGGACAGTCAGTGGTCCCAGGGACACAGCCCCCAGCTCTGGGTCTGGCAGACCCCGGGGACATTGTGTGCGCAAACCCCAGGCTCGCGCAGAGCACCGTCCTGAGTTTAGCCAGTGCATGTGGCAAGCTTCCATGAGCCCCGAGGAGATTTCAGCTAGGGACGAGGGTGCCCATCCCTTCCCCTACGGCAGAGGCAGGCCGGGGGGCCTGAGAGGGCGTCCTGGGCCCCCGTCAGGCGGGAAGCATGGGAGAGTGCCCGCTGTTCCTTGGTCAGGCCTCCTCCTGCCTCTGATGGCCTTAGGGTACTTGGAAGGAGCCTCTTTTGAAAGCAAACCACTAATTGTGATCTGGTCTGATGGGCATCGAAAGCATTTTATCTCCTCACCACACAAGCAAATACATCTCCAACGATTCCGCAACCACCATGGGGCGCTGTTATGTGACAGCCTTCACATGGTTTAAGGCGGGAGTCACCTTAAAAGTCTGGAGGGCCCTCACGTCTTCCTGTGGCGTGCCGTCTTAACTCACAGCAGCTGTGGCCGAGCCAGTGCATTCTTTAAGAGGAAACGGAGGTCCGGGGAGGATCAGTCACTTGTTCAGGGCTCCATGGTTTTCAGGGGGAGTGAGCTAATAATCCAGGCCTGCGAAGGCCTAGTCCCTCCTCTCTCCCCATTTCCTGCACATCCCCTTGGCTTTTCATGCAATCCGACGCAGGTTCGGATTTCCTCAGCAGTTAATAATAATCACATTCAGTCCCAAATCTTCTGAACTTGGATCTGATGTAATAAAATTTTTAAATGTTTTATAGCTTGGTACCCACATGTTATTTTGTCTTCAGCCCTTTGCACTAGCAGACATTTGGTCTGCTTTTCAGATTTTATTATTTTCAGAGGATCTAAAGCCAAAATTGACTACAATTTGAGGGATTACATTTCTTTACTGGAGATTTCTATAAAATGGACAAAATATTATCTTGTTTAAAGGAACTACACTTTTACTAGAAAACCACATACTATTAAATACATGTATTTCCAAGTATTTATATCTTGTTTATAGACGCATTCTTGCCTAGACATGCACTAGTCATAGTTTTATAGATGTGTTAAAAAGTAAGGTAGTAAAAATACTCATTGGAATAGAACATTTCTAACCCCTGTCAATAGGTCTTTTTGGACCCCACTTTTGAAAAAAATGACCAGGCTGGAAGCTGACATCAGGGGGCAGAGCACCGAGGGCCACGGCCACAGTGTGACTCAGGCCAGGGGCACCGCGCACGGTGGCTGCGAGGGATACACACACCCTGGCTAGAGTCAGGCAGGGCCTACCCACTGCCCGTCCCCTGAGAAGGCCCAGCCTTCTGTCCACGTGGCCTGTTTCAGGGTGCCCTTTGCCTGAGTCCTCACTGCCAGATGAGACCGAATTAGGGTTTGATGTGAGCCTGTTGCAGACAGGGTAAGGCTGCCAAAAATTCTAATTAGAGTTCACGTTCACAAAGTCGCCCATATGTAAAGTTGCTACAGAAATGGTGGAATGAAAACATCAAAATTTATTGATGTTGTCAAGTGTATGGTCATTTGCATTTAAAAAATTGCATTTTTTCATAAAGGACCAGAGTAGTACTACATAGTTTGTCTCTAGGTACCATTGATTTGGAGAATTTCTGTCTATAAAAATTCTTCAAAATCCACCTCCGTGTGGTACAGAGAGTGCTGCTCGCAGATCCAGCTGACCGGGAGCATCTGCAGATGAAAACAGCTCCTGCGTCAGCGGCCTCAGCCGGCCGCCCGCCCGCTCAAGAGCCAGCTGCTGGTCCCCGTGGCTGGTCTCCCCAGCCCAGGTCTCCCGGGGAGCGATTCTCTCCTACCAGCTCTTTTTCCCTTCACCTTCATTTCAGAATGTTAATTTTCTCTGTGTTAGGTGCCATCTCCAGTTCTTTTATGAAAGTCAAGAATGGCACAAATCATTTCAAACCTCCCTGTAAACGAACATTAAAGATGATGGAGAACAGGATGTAATCTTATCCTACAATATGTAAACAAAGGAATCCTCTCTACAAAGAGATTGCTTGCTACAAAGCAGTGAAACGTAGAGCTAGCCTTTTACAGTGAATCTATAATTTTACTCATCAGAATAACTTAAAAATTGGAGTTAGGCTTTTAGAGGCAAGAAACTAAAGAGCTGAGTGGTCCGGTGGTGGTGGGTGTTCGGACTGTGGTATTGGTGTGACCTCTTTCGAGAAGCTCAGGACAGGTGTGAGCGCGGCCGGCAGGCAGGGCCCCTAACAGCCCCTTGTCTCCGCAGGGCGACGGGGGAGCGGTACCGGCGGGAGATGCTGGCCCACGGCGGCGGCCGGGAGCCCATGCTGCTGGTGCAAGGTGAGCCGGGCAGGGCGCAGCCCTTCTGAAGGGTCTGTAGGCTGCGTGTGCGAGTGTTAGCACCCGGGGTCTGCTTTTGGCCGCCCGCAAAGAAAGCTGTTTCCTATTTTCTCCGTATATTTCTTTTAAAGAGATAATGTTTCAGCTGTGCACTTCTGAGAATCTATTTCATTGTGTCCCAAATAACAATTTTTTGCATTTGTATTCTAATGTTCATTTCTATTTCATTGTCTCTGAAATAACATTAATTTTTAGTGACTGTTTTATTTGGATGTCAGGATACCGTTTCAGGCTTTAGCTTTCAAAATGTTACTAACACTCTAATAGGGAATTGTTACATTTGTCATAAATTTGTACATTTGTCATCGATTCTCAGAAAACTTGCCTTTAGACTTTAATAGGTCACAGTGTGTTTCTTTAGCCCTCAGAACTCATTTATTTCTTACTCCTTTATTTCTTTCTGTTTCTTAGCTACACATTTGCTAGAAATTTAAGGCATCACGTTGGACTTTCTGCCCGTTGAAACTTAGAACCTAATTAACTGTTCTCTGGGCATCCCCAAGCTTGGTTACCTATGTAAAATTTTTGTTAATTTTTTAAGTTTACATATTTTCACTGAAAATTTATTTGCAAATGGAAGCGACCATCACGATTTTTTATCTAACGTCCTCGCAACAATTTCGAGGAAGACGCGAGCGGGCGTGGGCGCTGACCGCGCACCGGCTGCTGCTTTGGCTCGGTTGAAAACGACGACTGGGAAAGAGCTTCCCGCCGCAGGGCACATGTCTGTCTGTCTTCTCTGTGGCGGCTGTAGCGGTGGCGACTCTGACAGAAACGTTCCCTTGCCGGGGCCTGTCGAGTCAGGCTGCGGGGCGTGATTTCGGCAGAGCCCGCTCCTCCGGCTCCCCGTCTGTGAGGGGAGGGCAGGGTGCCCCGGCGCTGAGGTGCGGCCGCCACAGGCGAGAGTCGCCAGACAGAGCCCCGGGCCTGCGCCCTCGGGGGTCCCGCGGTGTCCCCAGCGGCGGATGCTGCCTGCCCGGCACCACGCGGGTTTCCCCGCTCCGCCCGCCCAGCGACCCTGCGTCCCAGGCCGCGTGGGCGGCCCCCGGCCAGCGGCGCTTTGGCTCCCGCCGCGGAGCCGCCCGGGAGAGCAGAGGCTCCGCCGACCTGCCCAGACCTCCGCCCGATCCCGGACGGCCTCAGACGTTTCCTGTGCACTGATTAAGCTTCCGGCAACCCCGTGAGGTAGGACATGTCCTGGCTCGTTTCACCGCCGAGGAGGACGCGGTTCGGCGGAAACCTGGGGCTCATGGCGGCAGAGACAATACCCTCTGTCGTCTGCGCTGCTTTCTGTGCGCGCGGGACCAACACCTGCGAATGGCCGATGATGGGCTCCGGGAAGGCGAAAGTAATGGGCTCGTGACGGGCAGCCACGGGGAGTGGAACCGCGTGCCCTCGCCTGGCAGCTGCGGCGCCCCCTCCTCCCCCCACTCACGTGTTGCCCGCGTGCTCGCTGCACGCAGCGTCGGCCTCCACGTGGCGCCAGCGACAGGGAGAAAAAGTGGGGTCTTTCTCAGGGTCTGCCCTTTGGCTGGTGTAGTTTCTACTCTGCTTCCAAGGATGGTGTTAAAAAGATGGTGTCTCTAAAAATGTTGGTTTTTTATGAAAATTTTTTATGCTAAGAAACTTAATAGTTTCAAAACTGAAATTTCACACACGAGAGAGAAAAAGAAGGCCGCGATCCAACGCAGAGGTGACCAGGCGCTCAGATCGCAGTTCGCACCACAGTAAACGCCTCTGCTTCCGGCGCCCGTATCCTCCTCGCTGCCGTCCGTTCCCTCACGCCCGGCTGCCGCGTGCGCGTGCTGCGTCACGTGTCAGAGGGGACCGGGGCGTGCGAGGGGTCACGCCGGTCGCTCGGCGGGGTTGGATTTGTGAGGCGAGGCAAGCGGCGGCTCCTCACTGGCGGGTGCGCAGCCCGCCTGTCCCCGCGGGAGTGTCGCAGGCGCCGGCCCACCGCCTTGGCACCAGCGCCCCCCGGAGCAGGGGTCGGCGGGGTGACTGAGAGCGGTGATACAAAAGCAGAAACCGTCGGGCTGGAATTATTCTCCTGTGAAAACGTAATTGTGTGGGTGCTGTATACATCTTATTTAACTGCTTACCAGGTAAACGTAAAGAACCGTGCTGGGCAGCCGAAGGTAGAGGAGCGGCATGCAGTCGGCCCTCCGCGCCCCCAGGGGCCGCCCCGTCCCAGGGACCAGCCTCCCGTGGACCCCGCGGGACGACCGCAGACCTCGTCCCCCCCCACCCCGACCAGATGGCACGCTGACTGGCTTCCTCGCTCAGACGTGGGCTCCAGTGAGCTCCGGATGGTTTCGTAGAGTCAGGGTGCGTGGGCATTGGACTTGCGCTCCGAGGCGGACGTAGCCAGCGAAACCGAACACAATGCTTTCGGTCTCCGGAGAGTAACTACCACGCAGGTGAACTCTTAGGCTCCTCGTCGTCTCGAACGAGTCACATTAGCTCCGAGCTCACAGGCAGGGGCGCCTGGTGGCGGCCCGCGCCGCGTCTAAGGACGCCCCGGAAAACGCCGCCTCCCTCTCCTCACCCACCCCCTGCTCCCCGCCTGTCCGTCCACGGTCGCCAGCGGGGGCCCCCGCGCGGCCTTGCCGCCGCAGCAGCAGTCTCCGGAGAGCCCGCATTTGCCTCTCTCAACACACTGAGCACCCTCTGAAGGCAGCAGGGCACTGGTTAGACCGGCACCGCCCTCCCCGAGAAGGCGGGCGGGCACGCGGCGCGGCAGAGGCGGGCTTGCCGTTACTCGCCCTGCGCCTCAGGACCCGGAAGCTGCTTGAGAAATTCACTGGTCTCCGGGTGGGGGAGATAAAATGTGCTTTGACTTCAAGACACTGCTCTCGAATCTGCTTCTCCATAGCTGCCTTTTCAGTCCCTCTCTGCAGGGACCGTGTGTGTATTATAATTAATATTAGATGCAATAGAAAGCCAATGTAAAACTACGTTGCATTACAGCTTCAGATTGTGTCCCTTTCTAGTTTTAAACACATGCATAGCATGTATAATGATACGTGTTACAAGCACAATATTCAGTTACAAAACCCCCCACTAACACAGCAGTACCTGACCCGAACCAGCTTTCGGAGTCGCCGAGGATTCCAGGGTGAGGTTGAATTCTTTGTATTCAGTTGTCCGTGTTAAGTTTTCTGTGTTCATTCCATACCCCCACAGTGTTTTTTGGTTGACGTTCAGTATCGCATTTCTAAGTAATGAGAAAACACAGTTTTTGTTTAAAAGAAGCTATGACAATATGGTATTTTCATTCATTTTGCCCTTTAAAATACACACACACACACACACACTAGAGTCTTTTCTAAGTGTCCTGTGGTGAACATGGTCCACACACACACACACACACACACACACACACTAGAGTCTTTTCCGAGTGTCCTGTGGTGAACATGGTCCAAAGTTCAATTCTTAATACAGGCATTTCAGAGGGTGAATGTTTTCTAGAAAGATGAACACGCAGCAAGGTGGGTGAGCAGCAAGGAGGTAATGCTTTGGACAACCACCAGGCAGCAGGAATGTGTCCTGTGACAGCAAATAGGAAAGTGGGACTCTGTGGCTTCTAGGGGTGGAAGCTGTAGTGTTTCAGCCCTTAGGAATGATACAAGTTACTCCTATTCAAGGATACAGCTCATCCTCCTGCTTTTTGCATTTTATGTTACCTAAAATTCTTGAGTAAATGACCGTTACTGAGTTTACAGGATTCGATTTTCTGTATCTCTGCCTATCCAGGAAAATGCTTACACACTGAAGGGTCGCCGCAGGCCAGGGGCTTTCTGCCGTGCCGTCTCATTCCATCCCCATTCTTAGCGATGGGGCAACCCCGTCTGTGTTCACGCTCTTTCTGTGCTGACTGCCCTCCAATTCCCGGCTGCCATGGCTGCCCCAGATCTTTTAAGTTCCAGCCACAGCACGATCAGTGTGGCACTCGGTCAGACCCCCATTTCTGAAAGCTGCCTGTGTGCTCCACTCTCAGCCTTCGCACAGACTTCAGTGAGGGAAGGAAGGTTATGGTCCAGGATGCTAGCATTCCAGAGGTCATTTTCAAATATTGAACAACTTTATTTCTGTGCTTTCTAGAAAAAAAGAAACTCTTACCTTTATTTTTATGTTTCTCTGTGGCCAAAAGTAATATGCAAGTAGAAGTACAAAGTAGCAACTTGACAGAATTTTAAAAAGGAGCCAACATCAGATAAAAGAAAGCAGATAAATGAGTCAGTTCTCAGTGAAACTCCCTCAGTTTGTTTTTCTGTGTTGCCAAAATGACTCTTGGAACTGAAGCCTAGAAGCCCTCGGGGTATACCCAAAGCCGATTAGAATCACTATACCTTAGGTTTCTGCAGAGTGTTCTGGTTTTCAAGACACATTTTTAGTTTTGCCATAATTACCTCATGTTCTATAATATCTCTCCCAACTTATTACATATTTGTCTAAGAAACAAACCAGGGAATTATAGTTTATAGTCCCAAAGGCCCCCAAGGAGATTAATGCAATCTACAACTACTCTTTTTTTTTTTAATCCTCACCTGAGAACTTTTTTTTTTTTTCATTGCTTTGAGAGAGAAACATTAGTTTCTCTCCCTCCCATACACACCTCAACCAGGGATTGAACCCACAATCTGAGCATGTGCTCTTGACCAGGAATCAGACCTGCTGCTACCTTTTGGTCCATGGGACATTGCTCCAACCCACGGAGCCACCCGGCCAGGACCCTACTTTTCCCTTTCGAACACACTCTTGGTTCTGTGTCTTGTGAGCAGCCAGCATGCCCAGTACCCAGACCCGGGCCTCACACCATTCTACGGCTGAAAGCAGCCAGAGCTTGGAGGAGAGTGACCAATTCTGGGCCGAAACTTCGCAAGCCGGAGCCAGGGTGTCTGGCAGTAGCAGAAAGAAGAAACGCACAGCAATGGGGT